TTTTTTTACATTTTCAATGAGTTTCTCACAGCTTGGCTTAGTGGCATCATACGCTGACAACCACGTGGTTTGTTTTCACCTCTTTCCAGTTGTGACAAAAATAACCAACCTATTTCTGTTATGAGAAGAGGCCATTATGTCATATTTATGCCACAAGAAAAAACAAGTTACATCTGAGCTGCGAGACGACTTTCATTGCTTACCTGTAATGTTTTGTCACAGCCACCGATGTGCTTCTTGTTGATGAAAACGTTAGGAACCGTTTTCTGTCCGGTCATCTCAAGCAGCATCTCCTGGTAGCTTGTCCCATTATCTGAAGAAGGGGGGGTGTATGCATGGCAACAAGTTTTTCACATGCTGAAACTTAGCCATGCATTGTGTGTTTATACCATCTTTGATGTGCAAATGAAATACAAACAACAAAAGGGAAGGGTAAACCTGTAATGTGTACTGCTGTAATAAACACTTTCCTTAGCTGACCCTGTGCTGACTTTTACTGCACATTATGACCAATTATAGCCTCTGGTAATTAAGTTTGTTAGGTTTTCCACCGATTAACATTTAACATCCACCGCGTGCAACCCACCTCTAGCATTAAACCTTGGTAATTAACTCAGCAAGATAGGAGCAGTGAGGTACAAGTGCACTGAGATAATGGCACAGGGCCATCTTCGGTGAATGAGTCAGCACATTTTGTGCTTCTGCAAAGACAGCCCAGACCGTGTGGACCAACACGGTGAACCAGGACAACGTCTCCGATATGGGAACAGAAAACCGAATTAACTACTGTGAAAATGTTATATATTAAATTAGGGGCTTTGAAACTGACAGCACAAAGCAAAATGTACATTAAACAGGAAGAGGCTTTCAACAGACAAATTAGAAACACAGGCCTTAAACAAGCAGCTGGACTGTCATGAGTGAATTATTAAAAACCTACACTAAAATGTTACCATAGCCAATAAAGCAAACAATAAACATGTATTGTTTTAATTATACCAGGTCACAGACAAAGATGGTCAGTCCCCTGTTTATACCTGTATCTTTGTAACTTATTTGCTGTAAGAAGTGAAACATTTGTTTTGCTCAAAAGAATCTGCAGTTTTAAGCCTTTAAATGGAAAACTTCATACAACGCTATAGCTAACTATAAAGCACTTACTTTACACTACTCCCAGCTGCTTTTTATATAGTTATTCACGATCTGAATAATACACATAAAGCTACTTATGGGCAGCCACAGAGTGTAACAGCTGCTGACAAACACATTAAATATCCCTCACAGCGGCTATCAGTTACCTCACAATGCTCGTCTTACCCATAAGATCCAGCTCCACCACATTGCACTCGACTTGCAGTTCTTTGAACAAGTCTTTCACCTGAAAACACAAATAAGGTAAAAGATTAATCCTACATCAAAGGCACACAAACTTGTCCACACGTTAGAACATTTCATACTAACAAATATTTCATCTTGTAACTGTCAGGTACGCCTTTGTGTCCAGGTTATGGCGGCAGAAGGCAGCATTTTAAAATAGGAGAAAAGTATGAATTTTAAATAAATTAGCGCAGCTTTTTAAATACAGTGCATTCAGAATTTACAGAACATTGTAGCGAATCACTAGCAGAGTTAACTAAGAACAATACAATATGTAAAGCTGACTTTTTAAGGAGCTCGTTCAGAGGCGGCTAAAGCGTCCCAGGCTTAAATATATAACACTGGATATTTATCTTCCGCCATTGTCGACCTAACGTAAATTACATTAAAGGCTATGCTGTCCGGTTTTGTTTTTGTCATTTAGCGAGCTTATGCGTAATAGTAAACTTCTAGCCACCAAAGTTGATGACTGCACTAACGCAGCAAGGCCAAACCAGCAATTAGACCAAGCCCGTGTACTTCGCGGGAGAAGGTGGAAGTTTCTGACCGGCGCGGAGCCTCTACCGCCTACGACAAACTAAACGCCTTACCTTTACACAAAATGGGCAGTAGCTTTTGCTGAACACAATCACTTGATTGGAGTCGATAAGCTCTTGAATCTGAGATTTGAGTTCCTTCTTCCCGCTGTCATTTTCGACGGGAGGCATTTTCGAGATATTTCCGTCTGCCTGAGCAGGGCAAGCTTAGGTAGACGGCTGGCTACGGCTGGTGGGAAAAAAACGAACAAACCGCCTCTCTCTGTACAAACTCGAGAACAGATCTAAATCTGTCGAGTCTGTTTACCAGAGAAAGTACTTCTAAAAAATATACTCGAGCCGCGGGTCTATCCCCGGATCTACTCCCTTTGCTGTCACCAGCTAGTCTACCAACCGCGCCAAACGTCTTTTACTATTTCTTGTCTCGTTACGGTGGGTGCGCTCGATCTGAGTCACCGCGCTCACCGTGCGCTCCCTTGCTAATCACTACGGGCAGGAAGAACCCCTCCCGCTCGGGAAACCTTGTGCTATAAAACGCATCTACCTATAAACGTCACAGGGTCGGCTAATTACATGCCGTAAAGTACAAGAACTGTTATGCAATCAAAATATTCCGCTTAAAATAAAGTATTTCAGAATTAAACGGGCATCTACGTAAAAAATAAGTAGCAACTGTCAGTTAAGGGGACGCTAACACAAGCTGGGGGCCTACAGGCGTCTCCGGAAGACAGCTAATCCCAATTCAAGAAAGGAGTGAATTGAAGAGGAGCTGTACAGGAATGTACTGATGTATTGTTGACGTTTGACAGCAACAGAAAGCTAAGTTGACAATCGTGTGAGCCTCTAGCCCCTGAGTATTTCAGCATTATTGTGAATATTACTTGTCTAATTGTGGGTCCTGTAACGCTTACAGGCTGGTGTCTACCGCCATCTGCTGGTAAGTGTGCCACAGGTACATTTTCGCCGTAATAATTTTCCAGGTACAGATGTCCACTCTGTAGCACAATTTCTGTTAAAAGTTCAGTAACCCTAATAATAAAACGTCATGTCTTAAATACACTTTAATTTAAAATAATAAAAACTACGTAAACCAATATTAATACAAATATTTTTCTCTCGATTTTTTTGGTTTCTGAAGAAAGAAGATAGACAAGATGATAGATTGATAAAGACATGCATAAATCAATATTTCAATTTTGTATTATTCATATAGCATTCATATGTATTCATATAGCACCAAATCATAACAACAGTCGGCTCAGGGTGTTTTATACTGTAAGGTTAAGATCCTACAATAATATAGAAGCAACATAGAAAACCTCAACAATCAAATGACCCACGTTTCAGGACACCGGCCCTCGGGGACTGGAGTTTGACACCTGTGGTCTAAGGGAGGCATGTATTATGTAAACAAGTGGTCCTAGCACAGGATAATTAACCTTTCTGTGTGAAGAAAACTCTTCATTTACATGAACAAATCAGAATTTTTTCGATCGATATGAGTCAAACCACTTCAGTGCAGCACCTCAATAGTGTGGAAAGCTGCACTGAGGTCTAAAAGAGAAGCACATAGATGAGTCCACTGTCAGAGGCCATAAGAAGATCAGTTATAACCTTCACTAATGCTGTTTCTGTGCTGTGAAGAGCTGAAACTTTTTAAATAAACCATTCATCTGCAGATGATCAGTTAGCGGTTTTATACAAATTAGGGCTACATTAAGAAAAAATATACATATTATTGATCATTTTGAGAAAAAAGTCAAAAAAGTGTGGAGGTTACAGTTGCTTCAAGCCAAAACTGTCTGCTATACAATCTACAAAATGGCTTGTGTAGATGAGTTACTGAAACAAATTGATCAGTTGTCTTGTGACACAACATACATCCTCTTTAGTGTGTGAGGGTGTAACCATCGATATCCTTGCATCTCTCCACTGTCAGACATTTCATTTTGTACAAATCAGCTCCTCCACATCTGATCAGATGCAGCTTTCTGGACCATCTTTTCAGTCCCCATACTGATTACAACGCTATGTTTATGTGCTAAAAGAGAAATCATTTCCTTGTAACTAAAACTATTCTGAAGTACGGTCTCACTAATTCATCTATAGAAGGCATTTTTAGAGGGTACAGCAACCGCACCAGTTTGCTTTGAAATAAGTATAATCTCCACATTTTGACCTTTTTCTCAAAATGATCAATAATATATTTATTTCTCTTAATTTGGCCCTAATAGTCCATAGTAGTTTTACAACTACTCTTTCAAGAATCTGTGAGATAAAAGGAAGTTTGGAGATTGGCCTATAATTAGCTAGGATAGTTGGATCAAGTGATGGATTTTTAAGAAATATTTTAAGGCTTATGGTGTTTATCTGTGAGTCACTAACCCTCCAACAGATGTTTTTGTTTCTCCAGGACCTGTCAAAATGTCCCCAAAAGGCAGAAACATCCACTCTACAATAACTCTAAACAAACCTTCTGTCCACATGAAGTTAGAAGGAACTTTTAATCACTTAACAGTGAAATAAATCACCTCCTCACTCTAATGCACACTGTAGCTACTTGTCCTCATCTTAACCTAAAACTAACTTTACATGATCGATACATGTTTTTCACTGAGGTCTGTCCCAACAAAACGAATGAGTAATACAAGTACACACACACACCTATAAGTTGCTCCACTGGTATGTGGTTACGACTGTATTTCCCCAGTACGACCACACCTTTGTTAAAGCATGGCAATAAACCATAAACATGTAACATCCAGATACTGGATAGTAGGACGAATGTATAACAAGTTTTGGTGACATTTATTCATACACTATTACACTTATTTTTGTACATGTGAGATATTCATTTTACATTTATTAATTAATAATTAGATATGTTACGTTACAGCTAGATAAAGATAAAACATTATACAAAGTAACTAAAATGAGCCTATCACCAACCCCATCAAGATAGCAAAATATGGAGCCAGTAAAACTTGATCTACTGCCCACACTTCATGTGTTCGCAGAGTTTCCCAGAACTTAACTTGTACTTTCTTCATAATCTTCATCGCAAACAGAATAAGAAATAAATGAGGAGAACAGGGTTAACAATAGTTCCCAAATAGCTTTAAAGTTCCCTAAAGGTCTAATTAAACAGCCTTCTGTGAATATTAGCTGAATTTAACAATCAGACGTGATTGTCTGACCTTGTTCTGTGATTATGGTATGCTGTAGGATGTATCATAGCATATTAGTCATAGTGTCAAGAAGGAGATGTATCAATAGCTTCCTATCAGCAAACGTGTTAGGAAGTCAGAGCAGTTTCCAGGAATCCTTTTTTTTTTAATAGGGAGAGTTGATTGCCTGGAATAACTGTTGTGCAAAGTGTTTAAACAGGCATTGATGTTCTTTGCTGAAATAAAAATACATAGTACTGGATTGGGTTTATTGATTACTTATGTACTATGTTTGCCATGAACTTAAACAGACCGTTCATGCTTGCAAAATCTCAAATGTGGCTGAAACCAGTTCTGCAAAAAAGAGCAATGTGGACAACTAATTGCCAGTTAATGCAAAAACTTGACTGGACTTCAAGCCAGTCATTAGGTTTAGGAGGAATTTCTTTTTCCCATAGGATCAGGTAAGTTTGGATAACTTTTTCCCCTTAATAAATAAAATCATTTAAGAACTGTATTTTAACTTGGGTTATCTTTGTCTAATCTTAAAATGTATTTGATAATCTGAAGCATGTAAGTGTGACAAATACGCAAAAAAGGAAGGAGGTGAATATTTTTTTCACTGCATTGTATGTAAGCCAATAACAAAGAAGTTTGTGAAAACCGAACAACTTATTCGCATTTAAGTAGAAATGTGAAAACACCAGCTGGATGAAACATGTAATTATGGAAAATATTCAAAGTATTGTCATTTTAAAAAGATTTAAAGTTACAATGTCTAAAATATCACCACTAGATGTCAGCAGATTGCAGCTGAATTCTGTTTTACCACTCCCAATTCAAGCGTACAATGGTGTTTTTATGCTAGCTGTGTGCCCCCTGTGTGGGTGTTGAGCAAAGCAACCAATATGGCAAGTATACCTTAGTCCTAGCTACAGTAGCCACTGTAGGACAAAAAGCTCTGGCAGCCATTCATCTGTAGCGAGTGTAGGCTGTCAGGAAGCTCACGTCATGTGTCAATATGTGTCCGTGTTTGTTTACTCTGGAGGAGGCTGTAAAACTTTGTGAAAGAGTCTGACTGGAGATGGTCCGTGAAGCTTGCTGCTGGGGAGCGCTGCTGTTAGCTGCTGTTAGCTGCTGTTAGCTGCTGTTAGTGATGCCTTCTTTTAAATGGATATAACCTTGTTGTTTTAAATAACTTTTAAGTAACTGCTGTGCTCATAAGGAAGCAATAAATAATTTTATTAGGTTATTTAAAAACATTGTACATTGATTATGTTGTACAATGTAGACACAGTGATTAGTGTGTAATTACATCTTAAAAATACATAAGAGCAGGCGCCAGTTTGTGTAAGCCGCCATGTTGACTCATCATCTTGAATACAGTGGCCAAGATAGACATTGCAGTTCCACCTAATCACATTTTATGTATGTGGCTAGATACATTGTTGTGGTTTAAAGATCACAGATGGCTCTTTCAAACTACACACAGCCATTTAATAGATTCAACAAAGTGCTGGAAACACTCTCCAGAGTTTTTGAGCCATAATGATCTCATAGCATCACACAGTTGCTGCACATCCATGATGCAACACTCTTATTTCCCCACATCTCAGGGGTGCAGTTTTGGATTAAAATCTGGTGACAGTGAAGGCATTTGAGTACAGCGAATTCATTGTTATGTATAAGAAACCAGTGTCAGACGATCTGAGCTTTGTGCCATGTCAGAAGATGGGTACACTGTGATCATAAAGGGACAGATGCGGCCAGCAACAATACTCAGCTAGGCTGTGGCATTTAAATGATGTTTAGTTGGTACTAAAGAGCCCAAAGTGTGCCAAGAAAACGTCCTCCGCACCATTAGATCACCAGTGTACTGAACTGTTGATAGAAAGCAGGATGAAGTCATGCATTTATGTTGTTTACACCAAATTCTGACCCTACCAAGTTCAGAATGTTAGAGCAAACACCGAGACTCATCAGACAAGACAGTGTATTTCCATTATCCATCTATTATCCAGTTTCAGTGAGCCTGTATGGACTTCTTAGCTGACAGGAGTGGCACGCGGTGTAGTCTTCTGCTGCTGTAGACCATCTGCTTCAAGGTTTGACCAGAGATGCTCTTCTGCATACCTTGGTTGTAACGAGCGGTTGTATGAGTCACTGTTGTCTTCCGATCAGCTCCAAGCTGTCTAGTCATTCTCCTGTGACATCAACAGCAGCTTTCTGAGCATTTTGCCCAGATGACTGCTGCTCACTAAATATCTTCTTCAAACCCTGGAGATGGTGGTGTTAGAAAATCCGAGTAGATCAGCAGTTTCTGAAATACTCAAACCAGCCCGTCTGGTCACCAACAACCACGCCATATTCAAAGTCACTTAAATAGCCGTTCTTGCCCATTCTTGATGGGCAAGAAAGGCTATTCAAGTGATTGAACATGTGATTGAACAGCTAAATGGTAATGGACTTTTTCTACTCTCCTGGAGTATCAAAGCAGTTTATACAACATGCCACATTCACCCATTCACACAAGCACTGTCTTCTATGCTTTTAAGTGCTTACTAACATTCACACACATTCATACTCCGATGGATGCATCAGGAATCGAACCACCAACCTCAAATGTTCAGTTCAACATTAGTCTTTTATAATTATTTGAACATAATAAAAAGTACCTAATGAAGTGGCCAGTAAGCGTACAGATCCGATTATTCCTTTATATATGAATAACAATATTCGACCGTAAGGAAATCTCCGGTCAGACATATATATAATATGAAAGGCTGATACGTGAGGTCTTGTGTAATTCTCTTTGAAAAATAAAAAAAAATTGGCAGCATCATCTGCCTCCGCTAACCCTCACCCTGCCCGCCTACGTCACGTCGCTGAATCAGCTGCGCTGCACCACAGAAGCGTAATTTACGCACATACTTTTCAGGTGAGTTTTCGCCGGAAGAGTTTACCTGGCCGCAGGTGCAGGAGTGGATTTCTCAACTCTTACGTGACGTGTTTTCAGCAGATGAAAACACGCAAGAACGTTTCCAAATGGCCTAATTTCTTTGACAAGTCGCAACAGAACGAGCAGACTGAGCTCTGGCTGCGCGCGCGCGCGTTTTGACACTGTGTTGCTCCACCTCCGCCTACAACAGCTGAAGTCGCAGCTGAATCGCACGGAGGAAGCGCACAGCAGTCAGTGAGGAGAGAGAGACAGCGCGACAGCTGACGATGGCGGAGAATAAGATGGGCCCGAACCTCCAGGCTGGAGCCGGAATCTTCGCGAAACGGGTCCAGAAGTCCTTGAATCGAGCCCAGGAGAAGGTGAGCCAGAGGAGATCCACTTTTTAAAAAAGTTTCACTGAGCCCACGCAACTTCTTGACAGTGCCCGAGAGTCACTGCCACGGCTCTGTTAAACTATGAGACGGACATATTGAGCTTGTTTTATTAAGCTGCTCGGTGTTGAGGGCTGGAAAAGCCAGCATGAGAGAGGGAGAGAGACCTTGCCATCATGTCCCCACGATGACAGACTTTCTGAAAGCGTGTTTCGCTTCTAAGCAGGGTGATTGAAAAAATCCCCCACTGATTTCACTTTTGTCATCAGTGTTTTTGTGTGTGTGTGAGAGAACTGCTCGACTTCATCACTGCTGTCTTTTCAGTTGTGTACCGTTACATGGTTTGTAAGGGCATCAATCAATCTGGACGCGTTTACGCACTGTGATCCTGACCACAAGACAGCATTCAAAGCAGTCTGCACACTGTGCTGTACCAGACTGAGCCACTTACTCCAGTTCATGCGTGTGGGTTCACCGTTAACCTCACTAAACTGGCCCCTTTTTTAACCACTAATAAAACGGTAGCTTAGATTTCCCCCGTCTGAGCAACATGCTGTTGTTCACTGCTATGCAGCTGTGTGCGGACACAGAAATGCTGCTACTTCCTGACTGTGCACTTCCTCTCACTAGCTGTGTCTTTCTCGGTTTGTGGTCAACAAACTTGAATTCACCACTCCACCTAAAAGCAGCAGCTACAAAGGCTTGCTTTTTCGGTACAGTGAAGACTAAAGGGCTGTTTTGGGGCGACTCTGTGATTTCTGTGGTGGTAAATTAAAGAATGGACATGATGATGAGAGCTTTTATATACAGATTTCAAGTCAAAGGTTTCAAGCAGCTGCATTCGTTGGGCTGTGAAGGGCTCAGAAAAAGTTAGCCACATGTGTCTGGTTAAGCTTTGGGACAGGTGTAAGTGGTGCTCTAAGTAGAGTGTTAGTCTGGTTAGGTCAGTATATCCCCACTGTCAGACAGATCCACTTTACATTACACAGGTTTATTTTGTTATGTTGAAAGTGTGTGTATCACTGCATGTCGTGGTCACAAACCTTTAAAGAAACATCAGTCGTCTGTATTTTCTGTGTCTGCAAAACCTATTTTTAAGTTTTTTTTCAATTTGAGCCTCAAAAATTCATCATTCAGTGATTCAGCAGCCAGATGCTGGAGGCAGAGTTTAATATGTAGTTTTAAAAAATATGTAATTTGTCATAGATTGTATTTTAAAGGTGATGACAAAGTGGTGTAAACTTTCTAATGGCTGTCAGGGGGCAACATGGCTGGTTGCAGATCAGACATGTTGAACATGTCCTACATGTCCGTGACCTCAGTAAACGTCTGGACACAGATGCTGGTTTCAAGTGTTAGTGAAAAAAGCATGATGTTAATCTTGTAAATTACGGTCTTTCTTAGGTTCAGAACAGATGACAATGCAGGGTGTGATTTAGGGTGGGCCTACCATGTGATTAGCAGGGTGCTGCAGTACGAGCATTCAGGATCCTTTGGTTTCTTAGCTCATCTTGTCTCGTTTCAAAACATCAAGTTGGCGGCAGCCAAAATGCCAATCTTGAACTTTCAGAATGAAAGTCTGTAAACCACTGGTGACGTGATGGGAGCCATTTTTTGTTTACAGGCTATGCACTAAACAGACCATTTGAATGTGAAGGGATGTCGGTGCTCTCCTGTTGTGGGCGCCCTTGAAGCAGAGCTACTAAATAAGTAGAGGACCAAGCTGAAATGTTTTTTTACTACATGTTGGACTGCCTACGCATCATTGTTGACCTAATATACAGCATCTGCAAAAACATCACGTGAAGGAAAACTCGGTGAATTAGGTTTAATGTTATTGCATTTATATAAAAAGGCTTTACAAATGGTGGAGCTGAACTACACAACACAAACAATCACCAATAAAGTAACTCAACAGTTCTGTGGGAGATTCAGGTGTGTTATACCTGCTAAATATTGGTAAAATTAGGT